GGGTTACCCTCTAGGATTGCGTACTATAGGGTTACACTCTAGGATTGCGTACTATAGGGTTACCCTCTAGGATTGCGTACTATGGGGTTACCCTCTAGGATTGCGTACTATAGGGTTGCCAATTTTCGCCAATTGATTTCATATAAGAAAGAAGATTGCACGATTGTTCCGTTAATCAAGTTCATGTTTTGAAGAAGATTGCTTGATTGTTCCGTTAATCGAGTTCATGTTTTGAAGATTGCTCGATTGTTGCGTTAATCGAGTTCATGTTTTGAAGATTGTTCGATTGTTCAGTTAATCGAGTTCATGTTTTGAAGAAGATTGTTTGCGTTAATCGAGTTCATGTTTTGAAGATTGTTCGATTGTTGCGTTAATCAAGTTCATGTTTTGAAGAAGATTGTTCGATTGTTCCGTTAATCAAGTTCATGTTTTGAAGATTGTTCGATTGTTCAGTTAATCGAGTTCATGTTTTGAAGAAGATTGTTCGATTGCCCTCTATTTACATTGTACGATGCCGGCCCGATTGCCACGCAATCCGTTTGCGTCCGCAATCAAAGAGTGATTGCGGTCACCTCTTAGAGAACATTATGCACGTCATGCCAACGATTCAGTCCACCATGATGATGCAGGCCTCTGCGATGATAAGGGTCTGCAGCCCTTATCCTCTTCTGGTCTAAACTGGACGATGAGACGGCGGTCTATAACCGGTCTATTCACAGTAAACCGGTTCTAGGTTTACTTATGTTTTTTTATCTTCTTTCAGCGCTTGTAAAGAAATAAAACTTCAATAGCCTTTTATTCGGCCCGGAAACCTTAAAGCCTTCTAAGTTTCTTAGCCCACAAATGCACACTTGAATGCAGAACTTAATTCTTTGGCATAAGAAAAAAGTGGAACATTTTTGTGTACCTTACGCAATCTTCGTTGTATTTTTATTAGTTTTGCCGCAATTTTAGTTCAGCTTTTGAAATTTCTGTAGGTTTTTGGACAGTTTTTGACTATTTTTAAGCTGGCAATTTTTGGCTCTCGAATTTGGTTAAATCTTTGGCCGCGACTTCTAACGGTTGTTGTGTTGCTTTTGCCAGATCAGGAGGCTCGGTATTTGCATTTAAAAAAATTAGAGAATCTGCAATCGGAATTTAATTCAGACGCTTTGTTTACTAAATGCCAATTATGGAACGAAATCTTAGAAATTATGATGTAGTAGATTTAGCATTTGAGATGAATATAGTAACAACTTCATGACGCTTATTCGGGGCATAGATCATATCAGACTTCGAAAGGTGCCTGCAAACATAGACAGTTAGTGTCAGTACAATTAATTTTCAAATTATATACTAATCATAACGCTACTGGCTTCTTGTACAGATTTACTGGGTCCTTCTGAGGCCAGTATAGCTTGGCGAAAAGTGGCGGTTATGTCACTCTCCGGGAACATAACTTTCAACTTAACACGTTGACTATGTATTGGTACATATGCGTACCACGAAATGTATTTCTCCAGGAGGTAGTGGTACATAATTCAGGTTGCCTAAAATCGGCCAAATCCGAGAACAAAAAAGGCCAAAAAGGCCGATAACTTAATATATACTAGTTTATTTGTAGGTTCCGCTATAAAAATTACATTTCTTTTCTTTTTGCAGTATTTAAAATTTGATTAGGAAGTACCCATATCATAAATTTTAGCCGGCCAACGCAATTGAGAAAAACTAAATCACGGAATTTGTCCGGAAAAATGACCGTCTGGCAACCCTGCTTAAAAACAGTACAAAAAAATGAAATAATAGTACATACAAGATGAAGCAATCGTAGTCAACGTGTTAAATTATACGTAAACTATTGAGTGTAGCAACCTGAGGACGTTTGTACGCAACAGAGAACATTTTAAAGTTGTCGTACTTGGCGGCAACCATCAGTGCAAGTCATTTTGCGCTCACTAGAACGTATCCTTTTTGGGAAGTAGGCGCAGGTCTAATTTATTCCCCTTTTTCAGCGGATAATTAGCTAATTACTTGCCATTTTTCAGCGGATTTCGGGTCATTTTTTCAGCTGACAATTAGCTAATTGCTTGCCATTTTTCAGCGGATTTCGGGTCATTTTTTCAGCTGACAATTAGCTAATTACTTGGCATTTTTCAGCGGATTTCGAGTCATTTTTTCAGCTGACAATTATCTAAATACTTGGCATTTTTCAGCGGATTTCGGGTCATTTTTTCAGCTGACAATTATCTAATTTATTTCCATTTTTTCAGCGGATAATTAGCTAACTAAGTCATTTCTTCAGCGTATAATTAGCTAATTACTTGCCATTTTTTCAGCGGATTTCGGGTCATTTTTCCAGCTGACAATTATCTAATTATTTGTCATTTTCAGCGGACTTCGGGTCATTTTTTCAGCTGACAATTAGCTAATTACTTGCCATTTTTCAGCGGACTTCGGGTTCGCGCGGTTCCTGAAGGACGGCGTGATGGCAGCCACGTTATGCGGGTCCCCCATGTACATGGCACCTGAGGTCATCATGAGCCAGAAGTATGATGCTAAAGCCGACCTCTGGTCCCTGGGTACCATCGTGTACCAGTGCCTCTTTGGTACTGCGCCCTTCAAAGCCAGCAGCCCTCAACAGCTCAAGCAGATGTATGAGAAGTCGCCGGTACTTCGCCCGCAGTAAGTGACGGTTGCCTCGAATATTACCTTCATAATCGGCTTGAGAATTTCCTTCAGAATTGGTTTAAGAATTTCCTTCAGAATTGCCTTGAGAATTGCCTCGAAAATTAACTTCAGAATTGCATTGAGAATTAACTGCAGAAGTGCCTTGAAAATTTCTTTCATAATTGCTTTGAAAATTGCTCAATGCAACTCTAAAGCATAATTGCTCAATGAGTCCCAGGCTTGAGAGTTGCCTTCCGACCAGTTAGTCCCAGGCTTGAGAGCTGCCTTCAGACCAGTTAGTCCCAGGCTTGAGAGTTGCTTTCAGACCAGTTAGTCCCAGGCTTGAGAGTTGTTCAGACCAGTTAGTCCCAGGCTTGAGAGTTGCCTTCAGAGTGTAAATCACAGACCTTGTATAGTGCAGACAGACCTCGTATAGTACTACAAACCATAACAGACCTTCTAATGGTCATGCTTTTTACAGACTCTCGCACAGCACCAGCCCATTACAGACCTAATGGTCTTGCATTTTACAGACTCTCGCAAAGCACCAGCCCGCAAATGTGCCACCTGCTGCTGGGTCTGCTGAAGCGCAACGCTCACGAGCGCCTGAGCTTTGACGCCTTCTACGAGCACGCCTTCATCAGGACGCCTGACGAGGTCGCCTCCATCAGGCAGCGCCGGGACCGAGAACTTGCGCTCATGCGCGAGCAACAGGCGCCTGATAGGCGCGAACAGGTGCAGCAACAGGTGCAACAGCATACAACAGTACTGCTATACTGTCACTATACTGCTATACTTTCACTATAGTCTGAACAGGTGCAACAACAGGTGCAACAGCATACAACAGTACTGCTATACTGTCACTATACTGCTATACTGTCACAATAGGTAGTGCTATACTGTCACTATGGTCTGAACAGGTTCTTCAACAGGTGCAGCATCAGGTGCAACAACAGCAGGTGCAACAACAGCAACAGGTGCAACAACAGGTGCAACAGCAGCAGGTGACCGAAGAGGCCCGCCAGTTGTCCGCGCCCAAGCAGGCGGCGGGTAAAAGCAACACCGCCATCCCGACCCCGACTGTCCGGGCCCGCGTGGCGGTGCCCCAGGGTCCGGGCACGCCTATCAGGACCGGGGTGCGGGCCCGGCCCCAGCAGTCCCCCAGTCCCGCCCTTGGTGAGCAGCTTTTCTTTTCTTTTTTAATTAATTTGTTCATTGCAAAGTTATTTATTCTTTTTATTGTGTAGCTTCAGGTTAATTAAAGCGATTGCCTTCAGTCAGCCTAACTCTTGCGTCCTGCCACCTGCATGATGCGGGAGTTGGGGTTGGCGTTGAAGAGTTAGGGCGTTGTGTTGGGGGAGTTAGGGCGTTGAGAAGTTGTTGAATTATCGCTGATCCTTTGTTATCCAGGGGCCATACTTTCAAAACTCGCTAAGTGAACGTAAGTACTTACGCTCTATTTTCTTGTCTATGATTGGTGGATTTTGCTTGAAAGGCCGTCAATGATTGGCTGATGAACTTACGATGTCTTAACTTTTTTTGAAAGTATAGGCCCTGGTAGGCCCTGGTGCTTTACTTTCAAAACTGGCTAAGTGAACGTAAGTACTTACGCTCTATTTTCTTGTCTATGATTGGTGGATTTTGCTTGAAAGGCCGTCAATGATTGGCTGATGAACTTACGACCTCTTAACTTTCTTTGAAAGTTAAGAATGACTTTGAATGACTTCAGGCGCTACGACGTCTGTTTCTTGTTGTGCATTGAGCCACGAAAGTGAACGCGAACTGCAAGCTTCTTTGAAGTTCCTTTTAGTTCATCTTTTCCTTGAAAGTGAAAAATGAGGTCAAAGTCATTCATGCCGAGTTACTGCACATGTTTTCCTTGAAAGTGAAAAATGAAGTCAAAGTCATTCATGCCCAGTTAACACAGATGTTTTCCTTGAAAGTGAACGACTATGGTGAATTAGTTTTTGTTTAGTAACGACACAAGTTTTCTATGAAAGTGAACTATGATATCAAAGTCAATCATGTAGTTTTTTTTCCTTGAAAGTGAAAAATAATCTAATTCATCGATGTTGTATTGAGGCACAAGTTTTCCTTGAAATTAAACTACGATGGTAAAGTACTTCTTAATTTTTTATTTAAGACACAAGTTTACCTTGAAAGTGAACTACGATGGCGAAGTAATTCTTGTTTATGTAAGACACAAGTTTACCTTGAAATTAAACTACGATAGTGAAGTAATAAACTACGATAGTGATGTATTTTTTGTTTATTTAAGACACAAGTTTACCTTGAAAGTGAAAGTGGTAAATTAAACCCAACATTTCCTCGTCCTTTGAGCCTGATGGCCTCGTGCTTAGCTGCTGCATAAGAGGCAGTATTTTTTTCATTCTCATACACTTTCATGTTCCCTTCACTTCACTTTCATACTCACCTTTCAACGGCAGCCAGTCTCTCGAGGCTGCCTGCTGGTTTTGGTTCTTGCTTTATTGTTCAGTAGGTTTTTAATATTATTTATTATATAATAAATTAATGAATAGTGTTTAATATTTTTAATATATCAATTAAATTAATATACTCATAATATTTCAAGATATTATTATGGATAATATTGATAGGCTGTAATGTGATTACCCGCCAATAAATAGTTTTTTCAAAGTATTATTCCTATTTGTTCTATAAGAGTATTTTTAATAACGGAGAAATTACTTCATCCATTAAACGCACTTTTGAATGCTCATAAAAATGAGTTGCAATTATTGTTTCGGTTAGTTTACCTACACTCAGACAAATGAGTGTGACTGTGTCTATATAAAGATGCATCTTTTGCCCGTGTATGGGTCATCCTGACCCAGTTTGGCCGGTAAAAGAGCATATCTGTGCTAGCGTTGTGCGTAGAAGAAGCACTATATAATCACAATGTATAACAAATGTGTGTGAAGGGCTTACATTTGTTTGTGAATGTATTATCATTCATATATATTTATCATTGTTATTATCATTCGTAGTTATCATTGTTATCGACATTCATAGTTATTATCCAGTCGCCATTTTCATCACTAGAGTTACGAGGTTCAGGATGATGCCGCACCAAATGCTAGATTAGTTCGTCTACATTCATACAATCTTAATTCATTAATTACTTAAATTCATCTCAAATTATTATAAGATTTCAACATTTGACTCTTCGGGTTGTGATCACTGTCGTTCACTGTTATCGTGGATACTGAAAGTGTAAATTGTACAGCAACATCCAGCATGGCCGCCTGAGTAACATTCGGGTCTGACCTTTAGTTCGAGTCTGCGTTTAGTGACGTCACGACACGAGTGGCTGTGAGTCGGGTAATCAGTACTGAAAGTGCAAATTGTACAGCCACATCCAGCATGGCCGCCTGAGTAACATTCGAGTCTGACCTTTAGTTCGAGTCTGCGTTTAGTGACGTCACGACACGAGTGGCTGTGAGTCGGGTAATCAGTACTGAAAGTGTAAATTGTACAGCAACATCCAGCATGGTCGCCTGAGTAACATTCGAGTCTGCACCTTTAGTTCGAGTCTGCGTTTAGTGACGTCATGACACGAGTGGCTGTGAGTCGGTTAGTCAGTTGTGTCCCACCAGTCTTACTGAGAGGTTGCGCTCAAGCTCGCTCCGCTTTTCCGACTCACGAGAAGTCTTGTAGTTTGCTACATCTTGTAGTTGCTACATCTTGTAGTTGCTACATCTTGTAGTTGCTACATCTTGTAGTTGCTACATCTTGTAGTTGCTACATCTTGTAGTTGCTACATCTTTTAGCTGTGCCGTGAATTGTTTTTCGACCATGAACGTTAGTTTTGAAATTTTAAACGTGGCTTTTTTTAAAAAAGCCGTGAATTGTCGACCATGAACGCTAGTTTTGAAATTTTAAACGTGCCTTTTTTTAACTGTTACTTGCTGAAATAAAATAACGTTTTATCCGTGTTAACTGAAGTTTTAATTAACAGAATGCACGTGCAATAAAATATCAGCGATTGGAATTATATAAAATTTAGTATATTTTTATTTGATAGTTACCTTCGTTTGGCCGTAAGGAATTCCAAAAAAACTTTTCATTGCGAAGAAAAAAAATCTTTCACAATGAATATTTATAACAACAAAAATAATGGGAATTAATGAATAAATATAAAAAAATGAAAACACGAAAATATTATTTTCTTTGCAGGAGATCCCGCCCCTTCGGTGTCCCCCCACACCCCCTCTCCCACTCCCCCGTCTGAAGCCCCCATGTTACCCCCACCCCTACCCCCCCTAGGGTCCCTCCCCCTGCCCGGGGAGTTCACCCCCATCCCTCAGGACCCCCAGCAACCCCCCCAGCAGCAGTCCCAGGAGCTGGCCATGAGCATTGAGGCCACCCCCGACCCCCAGACCACCTCAGACCCCAACCCCACCCCGGACCCCCCGGTCCGGCCTAGGCGTTATGGTACCACCAGACCCCCCCAGCTGTCATCCCCCCACCGTGGTGGTGGTGGTGGTGGTGGTGGTGGTGGTGGTGGTGTGGTGATGCGCAGAGCTTGTAGTGTCACCACACCACCGTCGTCACTGCAGGCTCACCACCACAGGCGCAGTCTCAACTATGGAGCACAGGCACCATATTCTCCTGTGATTACTAATGGTGAGACTAGTGGTGATGACTAATGGTGAGACTAATGCACTCCCCCCCTCCTAACGTACTCTCCCCCCAGCAGCCCCAGCAGGAGGGGAGGAGGATGACTACGTGATGGTCTCAGCCCCCGCAGACCCCGAGCCTGCGCGCCTCCAGACCCCACACCACCAGGGGTCTGTATAGTGTATACTGTCACTATACTGCTATACTGTCACTATACTGCTATACTGTCACTATACAGCTACTCTAGTGTCACTATCTGCTGCTTTACTGTCACTATACTGCTATACCGTCACTATCTGCTACTAATAATACTCTCATTATACTGTATACTGTCACTATACTGTATACTGTCACTATCTACCGCCATACTGTCACTATCTGCCGTTATACTGTCATTATCTGCTGCTATATGTAGGTCTTTCTCTTAGGTTTTCGTCACATAACGTGACGAAACAACAAGTTTGTATAAACCAGAATGAAAACTCAAAGTAAATTCAACAAATCTTCAGTAAAAACGTTCCGGAGACACACTCTTTTTTTCTTACGTTGGCCCCACTATATTTGCTCATCGTTTGTACCGGTTCTGTCCCGCGGTTCTTATCCCGCGGTTCTTGCCCCGCGGTTCTCGTCCCTTGGTTCACGTCCCTTGGTTCTCGTCCCTTGGTTCACGTCCCTTGGTTCTCGTCCCTTGGTTCTCGTCCCTTGGTTCACGTCCCTTGGTTCTCGTCCCTTGGTTCACGTCCCTTGATTCTCGTCCCTTGGTTCTCGTCCCTTGGTTCACGTCCCTTGGTTCTCGTCCCTTGGTTCTCGTCCCTTGGTTCTCGTCCCTTGGTTCTCGTCCCTTGGTTCTCGTCCCTTGGTTCTCGTCCCTTGGTTCTTGTCCCTTGGTTCTAGTCCCATGGTTCTTGTCCCTTGTTTCTCGTGCCCGCTAAATATTCTCCCCGCTTGTGCAGGCCCGCGGCCCGCAGTTCTTGTCCCTTGGTTCTCGTCCCTTGGTTCTAGTCCCATGGTTCTCGTCCCGCGGTTCTCACGCCCGCTAAATATCCTCCCCGCTCGTGCAGGCCCGCGGCCCGCAGTTCTGTGTCGCGGTCAGGTCGCAAGAACTCCTCTACGGCGCCTCCAGCAGCTGGAGCAGCGTACCCCAACCTGCGCCTGGAGAACATCGTCCCTGTCCCCAGCCAGCGCACGGCCTACCTCCAGATGACGCTGTCCCAGGAGTTCGCTAGGGGCGTCCCAGGCTACAGGGATAGAACTTCTTCCTGCAGTGACGGTAGCGTGTCTTCTAACGACCACCACCACCAACACCAGCACCAACACGGCAACGCTAACACCACCACACTATGTCGCACCAGCATCAACAACAGCAACTGCAGCATCAACAGCACAGGCAGTAACAGCAACGCTGTGCTGGAGACCATCACACCACCAGCCGTTCAGTTCAGCATCAACACCAGCAGGAGAAGAGCTTATTCTTGTTCCTCTACCGGGGGGCGGATCACCCCCAGCAATTCCCCACTACGAGCCTCTGGACGTCGTACTCCCCCTTCAGTCAAAAACCTGAACCCGACTTCCTCGAACCCTAATTTCCTCCCGACAATCCCCAGCTCTCCCACGAAGGATAACCCTACGGGGGATATATGCGGCAATGTACCTTGCCGCACTCGGACCCCACCAGATATGAACCCCAACCCTAACCCTAACCCTAGCCCCATGCAGCAGTCCCGTAGCGACACTTGCCTAGACACGAGAAACGTAGGCGCCGTGTCGCCCTTACCTCACGTGCGCCTGAACCTGGCCCCCCAGCAGCAGCAGCAACAGACGCCCCTGGTGTTCACCTTAGAGGATGAGGGGGGCACGCTGCCCCCCACCCTCCTACAGGAGGCCCTCATGCCCCCCGAACACAACGAGGTCCTCGCGAGGCTCAACTTCCTGCTGGCGCTCGTCGACTGCATCCTCGAGCTGGCGCAGGAAAAAGGCAGCTCTGTCGGCAACAAATCTGCGTCGCCTGGTGAGCATTTCAGGGCAACTCTGCGTCGCCTGGTGAGCATTTCAGGGCAACTCTGGGCAACAAATCTGCGTCGCCTGGTGAGCATTTCAGGGCAACTCTGCGTCGCCTGGTGAGCATTTCAGGGCAGCAAATCTGCGTCGCCTGGTGAGCATTTCAGGGCAACTCTGGGCAACAAATCTGCGTCGCCTGGTGAGCATTTCAGGGCAACTCTGGGCAACAAATCTGCGTCGCCTGGTGAGCTCTGAGCAATTTGCTCTGAAATATCAGAGTAGGGAACAAACGTATCCGTTATGAGTTAAACATTTTCACGGCGTGATTCAATCATTCAATTTTCTCGAACGGCTTCTGGATTCCGGCCTTGTCATCAGCATAGATTATTATGCATTTATTCACGCATTCATAATTAAGTTGATAAGTAACGTTCTTTATAATTTCTTGTTTTAATTTTTCAATGAATTATTTCTCGTAATGTGATCATCTCCATCACCCGCAGTAGACGTATAATGTGGGGATCATTGGTCTAATTACAATCATCGCTTGCATAATTACCATCATTCCTAGCATTATTACTATCATTGTCTGCATAACCACCTTCACTGCCCTGATTACCTGCATCACTACCATCATTACCACCATCACTACTACCACCACTCACCACCACCTCCCACAGGTGCTAGTGCAGTGGACGTTTGGCGTCAGGTCTCATCACCATCACTACCATCATTACCTACATTATTACCATCATTAATCACCATCACTACCCTCACTAATCACCACCACTACCACCCTCACTAACCACCACCACCCCCCAGGTGCGAGTGCAGTGGACGTGTGGCGAGGTGTACACAGGTTTCATCACCATCATTAATTATCACCATTCCCTGCATCACTACCATCATTAATCACCATCATTACCATAATTGATCACCCTCACTAACCACCACCACCACCACCACCACCCTCACTAACCCCCACCACCCCCCCCAGGTGCGAGTGCAGTGGACGTATGGCGAGGCGTACACAACCAGCGCGACCAGCTTGCGCTGTACGAGAAGACCTTACACCTGCTGAAGGCGGCGCTGCTGCTGGCGTCCTCAGAGATAAAGGGCGGCAGACTGCAGCTCTCCTCCGTCGTCAAGTGCCTGGTGGGGGAACTCAAGGAGAGGTTTGATGGAACCCTCACCCGCTGCAAGACCCTCACCCAGACCATGGACAGCGCCGCTACCCAGTACGGGCCTGAACATGCAGACAGACTTGTCTACAACCACGCTATTGATATGGTGAGTGGGGTCTGATGGTGAGTGGGGTCTACAACCTCGCTATTGATATGGTGAGTGGGGTCTAATGGTGGGTGGGGTCTGCTGGTGAGTGGGGGTCTACAACCACGCTGTTGATATGGTGAGTGGGGTCTGCTGGTGGGTGGGGTCTGCTGGTGAGTGGAATGGTGAGTGGGGTCTACAACCACGCTATTGATATGGTGAGTGGGGTCCACAACCACGCTATTGACATGGTGAGTGGGGTCTACTGCTGAGTGGGGTCTACTGGTGACTAGGGTCTACTGGTGACTAGGGTCTAATGGTGACTGGGGTCTACAACCACCGGTCCTGTAGCGCCGTTATGTTATGAATTTACGTTTCCTCATTTAACATGATTAAAGAGAGCAATTGTTTTAATAAAGTTATCGTTTCACTTCAATGTCTTCTTGATTCACTACCGTTAACTCATGTTTCAATGTCATGCCTTATGTTTCAGTCCCGTCCCCTCTTGTTTTAGTGCCGTTTTCTCCTGTTTCACTACCGTCCCCTCCTCTTTCTCTACCGCTTCCCCCTATTTCACTGCCGTCCCCCTGTTTCACTCCCGTTCCCTATTATTTCACTACCGTTCCCTTCTGTTCCACCATCGTTTCCCCCTGTTTCACTCCCGTTTCCCCTCGTTTTACTCCCTTTTCCCCCCGTTTTACTCCCATTTCCCCTCGTTTCACTCCCGTTCCCCCTGTTTCACCAACCACCGTTTCCCCCTGTTTCACCACCGTTTCTCCCTGTTTCAGTGCCAGTCCGCAGCACTCACAGAACTATTCGGGTCAAGCGAGTGCGACAGTTTCCGTCACTACCAAACAGCACAAATTTTGCTGCACGCTTTGAGCCAACAGGCGACCAAGGAGGCAGACCGCGTGCTGCTGCGTAACTACGTCAGCATGGTTGAGAAGCGCCTGCTGCTGCTGCACCACAGGGGCATCATACATGCGCATCATACGCCACAGCCACAGCAACAACAGCAGCATCAGCAACAACAGCAGCAACAGCAGCAACAGCAGCAACAGCAGCAAGCTTCAGATGGCAGGAATACCCCGCTACATATGTTCCATTAGCAAATACATCAGTAATATGATGTATCACAGGGGCATCATACATGCGCATCATACGCCTCAGCCTCAGCAACAGCAGCAGCAGCAGCAACAACAGCAGCAGCAGCAGCAAGCTTCAGATGGAAGGAATACCCCGCTACATATGATGCATTAGCAATATGATGTAGCAGTAATATGATGCATCACAGGGGGGCATCATACATGCGCATCATACTCCTCAGCCTCAGCAACAGCAGCAGCAACAGCAGCAGCAAGCTTCAGATGGAAGGAATACCCCGCTACATATGTTCCATTAGCAAATACATCAGTAATATGATGCATTAGCAATATGATGCATCAGAGGGGCATCATACATGCGCATCATACGCCTCAGCCTCAGCAACAGCAGCAACAGCAGCAGCAGCAGCAACAACAACAACAGCAGCAGCAGCAATCTTCAGATGGAAGGAATACTCCGCTACATATGTTCCATTAGCAAATACATCAGTACAATATGATGCATCAGAAGGGCATCATACATGCGCACATACTCCTCAGCCTCAGCAGCAACAGCTGCAGCAGCAGCAGCAGCAGCAGCAAGCTTCAGATGGAAGGAATACCCCGCTACATATGATGCATTAGCAATATGATACATACATCAGTAATATGATACATCAGTAATATGATGCATACATCAGTAATATGATGGATACATCAGTAATATGATGCATACATCAGTAATATGATGCATACATCAGTAATATGATACATACATCAGTAATATGAGGCATGCGTAATATGCTGCATTAATACTACCATGTATGATATGATGCATATGCTAGCTATGTTGTTCTCGCAACTAATGCACCCAGTGATGGTCTAATACGTAAACAATTGTTATTGAAATTGTGGAAGAAATTCATGTCAATATACAGTTTGAAATTTATGTGTTGATCAAGCCTGTATGAATTGGGACATGAATAAATTGCAACTTACTTTACCAATTACTTACTTATCTACTAAATTGGCTACAAATTCACAAGTTAAATTTCTGTTTTGGTTCTCCAAAGTAATAATAGACCTCCAGAATAAATTCCTGTGAATTAAAATATAATTTTATCATATTTTAAAAATTAAATTGCTTAATTCAATGACGGAATTTTGATTACTTTCAAAGTTAAATGTGTCGATCTCATGTTCATATTTTAATTAAACAGCTTGGGCAATTCGATGACGCTGTTATTTACTATATTATTTTAAAGTCAATACACGATCTATACATTTTGTTATACACGTAGAGACTTAGTCTCATTTTTTGAATTTTTAATTGAGTTCAAAGAATTCATATGACCGTGAATTTTCTTCCATGTGGTGGTAAGTTTTACGGATTAAAAATTTCCTAGACAAATTTGGGATTTCATAGAAAAAATATGAATTTCCCCGAGATGAAATTTCACGAATGAATTATAAAACACAATAACATATGAGTACAGTAATCAATGTATTCATATGAATTCAATGCATTGTTGATCATATGACCGTGAATTTGCTTCCATGTGGTGATAAGTTTTACGGATTAAAAATTTATTAGACAAATTTGATATTTCATAGAAAAAATATGAATTTCACCGAGGTGAAATTCCACAAATGAATTATAAAACACAGCAACATATGAGTACAGTAATCAATGTATTCATATGAATTCAATGCATTGTTGAACAAACGATGATTCTCTAGACGCTGGCTACCCCCATACTGCCTTCTTACACGTGTGTGCAATGATGTTACTTTATTACCTTTTAATACTTCTCGTTGCTTTACCTTATTTCTCTACAATTACTCGCATTCTCAACTTTATTACTTCGTAAACTCATATTTTTTACCTGCAATGGAAAAATTTCGTTTTAATGTTACCGGCTAATACACTGTTAGAAAAATTACCGTTAACGGTATTACCGGCGTTTCAGTGGCCGGTCGGCGCGTGAAAAGAAACACCGTGTCGCCGTTTTTATTCTAATTTAACACGAGAAATCCGTAAAACATCGGATAAAAACGGCGAAACAGTTTATTTTCACGGGGCGACCGGCCACTAGAACGCCAGTGGGACCGTTTTTTCACCGTTTTTCTAACAGTGTAGGTTTATGATGAATCCAATAGTTAAATTTTTATTCTTGAAGGTTCAATGCAATTTTATTTTAGCGAACGAAAAATTGCAACCGAAGCTTCAAGGTCTGCAATTTTCACAGATATTTAATTGGTTGAAGGTTAACTCGTGACGAATATTATTTATTCGAAAGAATTAATTAATATTTAATTATTGATTGATTAATATTAATATTAATTAATTATTAATTAATAATGTGGAAGGATTGTCATCAATCGAGACTGCCTAGACCTTCGGCTTCCAATATTCGCTCGCAATATTATCATTGCAATATTATTATTAGTGAAAGAGAGTCAATCTTTAGCCGATATAATATTTTTTCATCAGTCTTCGTGTTCATTTCATGTGCCTGCCACTGATCATTGTTTTTAAAGCACAATTTGTTCTCATTAATAGGAAGTTTCAACGCGAACAAAGGCAAGCGTACAGTCTTATCTAATACAAAGTTTAAAGAAGTTTTTTTTGTCACATATTTGTAATGAACGCGGCTGAATTTAAAGAAGTTTTTTTTAATGAAGAAGTTTTTTTTTCTAATACAAAGTTCAAAAAAGTTTTTTTGTAATGAACGCGGCTGAATTTAAAGAAGTTTTTTTAATGAAGAAGTTTTTTTTTCTAATACAAAGTTCAAAAAAGTTTTTTTGTAATGAACGCGGCTGAATTTAAAGAAGTTTTTTTAATGAAGAAGTTTTTTTTTCTAATACAAAGTTCAAAGAAATTTTTTGTAATGAACGCAGCTGAATGAAGCTGCTAGAGCCCTCGGGAACACTGGCAATAGAGGTTGCAATTGTTTTATTATTTTAGGTTGCAATTTATGCCTATTATTTTAGGTTGCAATTAATGCCTATTATTTTAGGTTGCAATTAATGCCTATTATTTTAGGTTGCAATTAATACCTATTATTTTAGCTGGCTTGCAAGCTTTGTTTTTTGCACTAAACGTCTATTCGTTGCGTAGGCCTATTTATTTCTGGATTTTAGGGTGGGCTTGTTTGCTTAAATATTTGAAAAAATACAATTTTATTAGTGATTTCAATTTATTAAAAACAGCATTGAAATGCTGTTTTTAATATATTGAAGCCACTAATAAAATCGTACTTTTTTCAAACATAGGTATTTCAGTGAACTTTAGCACATTTTAGCAGGTTAGAGAAATTTAGCATCAACAGGTTAACCAGATTGCAACAAAGATTTTTTTTTTCATGGCTAACCTTTGAAATTCGTCGCATTTGCTGCCTAAACTTTTACAAATGCAAGGTTGGACTGCAAATGAAACTGTCCGAGTTGTTAACTATGTTTTTCTACTATCTATTTCGTGGCTGTTATGTCCTCGTAAATGTCAAAAGGTTTTACGAGCGAAGAACATCCTGAGGGATCTTCAAAATGCCTTCCTTAATCCATGTCACACTGCATAATCCTACAACTTTATTATCGCACCGAGTACAGGTACAGTTGTACAGTAGTTAAGCAGTTACAGTTCTATACAGTGTGCGGGCAGTTTCGTAGGTGCAGTAGTACTGTACAGTGTTGTCAGTCAACAGCGAAACTTTGTGTTCGGGGACCGGTATGTCATTATCATGGGCAATGTAATTTTTCAACCTCGCTTGAAAAATTAAGGCGTTTTTTTCTTAATTGAAATATACTTTCTTGGCTTGTTTTTATGTCTACGTTGGCTGCAACTTTCTCGTGCCATGAACACCAGATATGAATACACGCAGCAGTTTTAATTTATAATATAATTTTAATTTACGCAGTCATGTCATTTTATTTATTGCTAACGAAAGCTTTCGCTTTATTCATGATACATTTTTACAGTGACAGCCGTGGCTGCTCGTATTGCCTTAACCTAAATGTGCTTTATTACATCATCTTGCTACTACCGCTTCTTCGATGATCATTTCTTACGTACGCTACTGTATTTCTAACTATATACTTCAACTAGTTACTTCTAACTAGCTACTGGTCACGCTTGACTACTGTAGATCTAAGTCATCTAACTAGCTACTGGTCACGCTTGACTACTGTAGATCTAACTAGCTACTGGTCACGCTTGACTACTGTAGATCTAACTAGCTACTGGTCACGCTTGGCTACTGTAGATCTAACTAGCTACTGGTCACGCTTGTCTATTGTAGATCTAACTAGCTACTGGTCGCGCTTGACTATTGTAGTTCTACCTAGCTACTGGTCACGCTTGACCAGATATACTTGAGAATAATTACGTGTAGTCACGAGGGACTAAACACTAAACGTCATATTAAAACACTTGGAACCGAAATGAACCGACTGCTTTTACAGAACCTTGAATGTGTGAACCAAATCAATTAGTGCCTGCAATGTGGACCAAGAATTGATTCGGTCGTTTCATCAATCACAAATCTCGGACAATGGTTATAGTTTTTATTTATTTAAACATACAATATATTTTGTGCTACATTAATATCGTGTGGTATTGTATTAGGTATTTTATTTCATAGGTAAATTGAGGCCTGACGTTTGCTGAGGTGTTGTAATACTTAGAATCTTGAGTGAGCGGGTAACGTAGAATGTAAGTAGTAACTCTGATGTATGTGTATATTATAACGACCACATCTTGTATTCTAGTAGTTACTTTAACCTTTGCATGCGATGGAGTATCAATACATTACTCAACCAATACTTATAACCATTGAATAATCAGTTATAGATCGCATATTCTTCCTATACCATCTTCATTAGTTATGTAAATGGTTTACATTTACTGAGTATTCATACTTAGCCTTAAGCTGCTATTTCTTAGCGAGCTAATTTATAACGACCCCTAGGAGAGGCTCGTTGAAAACTATTGTGAAAACTATTGTGTTTTCACAATAGTTATTGTGTTTCACAATAGTTCTATATAATTGCTTGCTCGTCTGCACTCTGCTCATGGTGACAGACAATGACGGAGTTTGTATGAACTATTTTTACGTTTTGCCAGATCTTGAAATGTTCGTAAAATGTATTACTTGGATGGATCGTCGTTATGGCCATAGATCGTACGGTGTCAATTGGGATAAGCGCATTGTTAAATGTTCCAGTTGACCTCTCTGAAAATCGGACTCCAAAAATTTGGAAAATTTTTTGGAAAAAAAAATTTTGAAAAAAATTTGGAAAATTTTTGGAGGCCGATTTTGGGTCGTTTGTCATGTCTGGCCGGGCAAATTCTATAACGAGATTTGTGCGGGCAATGGTATTTTGTAGAAACTTCTATAGGGAAGGTGGCGACTTTGAGGGATCATTTTGGGAAGTCTTGGAAAAGGGGCTTGCGAAGTTGTCATTAAAAGTTCAAGTTTATGTGTTAGGGCCTAATCTACCAACGTAATTTGTTGAAGTTTGTTCTGTAGCGCTACACTGTTAGAAAAAACGTTGAAAAAACGGTCCCACCGGCGTTCTAGTGGCCGGTCGCTCCGTGAAAATAAACTGTTTCGCCGTTTTTATCAGATGTTTTACGGATTTCTGGTGTTAAATTAGAATAAAAACGGTTATACGGTGTCTCTTTTCACGTGCCGACCGGCCAGTGAAACGCCGGTTATACCATTAACGGTAATTTTTCTAACAGTGTATTAAGTGCATGGCTTTAGTTTTCACTCCAAGTCTTTCAGTTAATTTTTAGTAGAAAGTTCTCTCGACACGAAAGTTTGATTTGTTATAGGTTTGATGATCTCAACAGTAATTTTTGTACGTCACCGCATCGCTTTGCTTTTTAGACCGCGTCTTTTGTGTGATGTTTGTTTTTTCCTTTGAAGGAAAAAGTGAGTTACTCACTGCCTATGTTTTAATTTCTGATAAGATATGGTACTGATATATTCTTAGTGCGTTTCTTAGAACTCATGAGGTGTGAACAATGTGATAAATCTAGAGCTAAACACAAAAAGTGATATAAAAACAAGCTATGTTAATAATTTTATGTTAAGCTTGAAATGTTGTCACCGTGGAAGTGGAGTTCTGCGCTGTATTTTGCTTATATTTTAAACATCATTTCTTTAAGTTAGCTTTAGAAGCGTGTTATTTTCATAGAAACAGTCCACTTGATATCTTGGAAATCAGCCGAACTTAACAGTTCCTCGCCCATGTAACATTATTATAAACATCGCTCTTATTTAAAACAAGCTAGTTGAACCTAGTAAATCAAATAGCCTCAGATCATCTAAAAGCACTTTCTAATGTTATTACAACATATGAGGTACATCGAAACTTTTCGGCAATTTACAGGCATGTGTAGAGCTGATGAGCGATGAGTTAGAAAAATCTCGTAGCTATAACGTTGATGGGAACTATGGCGTTGACGTTGCTATAACGTTGATAGGAGCTATTACGTCGAAGTTGCTATAACGTTAATAGGAGTAATGACGTTGACGTGGCTATAACGTTAATAGGAGTAATGTCGTTATAACGTTGCTATAACGTTAATAGGAGTAATGGCGTTAACGTTGCTATAACGTTAACAGGAGCTATGACGTTAACGTTGCTATAACGTTAACATGAGCTTTTGGTGACGTAGCTGTAACGTTAACAGGAGCGTAGAAGTAGCTATAACTATAACATATAAGAGCATGAGAACGTGTAGGGAGACGCTAGCTGCCCGCAGTATTGTATTTTGCTATGTTAACTAAGCTGTATCCATAGTGCTCTATAACCTTTCAAATTGCAGCCCGCGGCTAGAAAAACTAATATGTTGTATAAAAGTTATTAAGCCTGTGTATCTTTTCCTGAGAAATGTAATGCGACCACCACAAATAGAGAATGAATTAGAAATTTAAAAGCGAAGAAAACACCACAAAAATTTAGCATATCTTTTTTGAAAACGTTTCGGAGACGTTTTCAAAAACGTTTCGATCGAACTGACGATGGAGCTGGTCTCCGAAACGTTTTCAAAAAAGATATGCTAAATTTTTGTGGTGTTTTCTTCGCTTTTAAATTTCTAGTGAATCTGCGATTAAAGCAATCTAGTGACTTTTTTTACTTGGGAATGAATTATCTTAACCTCGCAGTTGTGATCTCCAGTTGCGGGGAATGAAGTTGAATTTGTTGATATTTTGCAGTTCTCAATAAATATGGTCAATTTAGCGGGACTGCAACTGATCAGAGGTGGTCAAAATAAACAATAATAAAAACTCCATACGTGACGTCTTCAAATTTATTATTCAGTAATGCGCTAGACCTCAATTCATCTTAAAGATGAATAACGTTCAGTAATTATTTTCAGTTCATCATCAACTTATGCGTTCATCAACTTATATAATGGTATAAGTTGAATTTGTTGATATCTTGCAGTTCTCAATGACTATGGTCAATTTAGTGGGACTGCAGCTGATCAGAGGTGGTCAAAATGAAACAAATTGATGCATAAATACTATAATGTACCTTGAATATGAATGATTGTGTAGGCTCAGTTTGTGTTACAGTCTGTAATATTAAGTGAATAATAAAGTATAACAAAGCGACAAAATTATCATATCCTTAATCCTTAAAAAAAAATATCCCCTTAAGCCTTAATCCCCTTAATCCTTAAATTATATCCTTAAGCGACGATAATATCCTTAATGGTCGGACGCTGAAGTTTCAACTGAAGTGTCAAGAATTGATTTATCCCGCACGTGGTGGATTTATTCAGCAAATATTAAAATACAATTCGGGGATTACTTGAAATTGAAAAATTTTTCTCATGAAAGGCGAAAATTATCCAGCAAATATTCATAGGAGAATTTCAAAAAAATTGAAAATTTTTTCTCATAGAAGGCGAAAAAATGTTTATTATGTTATGTTTAAATTGAGTAGCGAACGCTTCATCAGATCCTTCAAATAAATTCGTTGCGAGATTCAAAAGTTGAAGGAAATTTGCAGTGATGATAATGGTGAATTTATTCTTACCTTCTACATAGATTCATTTGATATTTAATTGTATTCGTTTACAGTAAAATTGTAGCATATCTTCCACTGAAGATTCTCATGAAGATGAATTCTGAAGACTTTGCACGTTCGCGCTTCAATCTTCAATTACAATCTTCAATCTTCAATTACAATCTTCAATCTTCAATTACAATCTTCAATCTTCAATTACAATCTTCAATTACAATCTTCAATTGCAATCTTCAATTACAATCTTCAATTACAATCTTCAATCCTCAATTACAATCTTCAATCCTCAATTACAATCTTCAATACTCAATTACAATCTTCAATCTTCAATTACATGAAATCGTCCGAGTCGTTACCTGTATCGTGATTGCTGGTCATCTTCGAAGCATCAAACATGTTGTCGTAATTCCTGCATGAAACATTGTACATTACATTTTTAAAACCAAGAATAACAAATTATGAACAAGAGACAGGATAGACCCATCTTGATGTAAACTTTGCAATGAGTGCAGAATGAAAAAAAAATTATTTAAAATCACTTAATAGCTTAAATCGCAAATTTATCAAGAAGAACACAGCAAAAAAAAAATCATTTTTTGGGAATGAAAATTTTCATTCTCAAGAAATGGTGAATTTTTTGGCCGTTTTCTTTGCTTTTAATTTTTTGAAAAAAAAGTACATGAAGCTGAGTGCAACCAAGTGCAGTGAATCAGTTAACTATTCTTTCAACTAAAACAAACAAAACAATAAATAGGAAAACTACACTAATGCATGAACTTACAAAGCAAAATAATTAATTGCCATCACATTCCAGAAATTTTTCTATACACTCTCCAAAATATGAACACGACCAACCTTAGAGAGGCTTCCTTCTTTCTCCTTTCTTGCTCCTCTCTTTCTTTCTGCATCCTCTCCTTCTGCTCTTTCTTGGCTTGATCTCTCTCTAGCGCGTCTCTCTTCTCTCTCTCAGCTCTCAAGTCAAGCTTTACCTCCTCCTTTGTTTTGTTAAGGCGATTCACTATCTCATTTATGCGCTTGTCAATACGAATTTTGTAAACCTGAAAATTGAGATTCATTAATAAATAGTTGTACAATAAAGAAAAAACTGTATCGAGAACTAGAGCAAAAGTAGAAAATAATACTAGAGCAGAAGTAGATTAAAAATTACAGAAAAAGACAAATGTTTGATCTTAATTTTAAAAAGATAGTTAGCACCTCCTTGTCTTTATGGAAGACAACCAGCATCCATGCTCCATAAACTCACCTCCTTGTCTTTATGGAAGACAACCAGCATCCATGCTCTGGCAAACTCACCTCCTTGTCTTTATGGAAGGCGACCTGCATCCATGCACCGTAAACTCTCCTTGTCTTTATGGAAGTTGTCTTCCATAAATAAAATGCCGCCCAGCATAAATGCTCTGGTAAACTAACCTTGTCTTTATGGAAGTTGTCTTCCATAAATAAAATGCCAGCCAGCATAAATGCTCTGGTACACTAACCTTGTCTTTATGGAAGACAACCAGCATCCATGCTCCGTAAACTGACCTCCTTGTCTTTATGGAAGGCAACCTGTCCTGCATCCATGCTTGCAGTTTTGCGTAGGTTGCTCCACAAGGTGTAAACAACATCAACGTTATTCATCTTATTTCCCTGCAGGAAATAAATCTTACAATTACATGTTGCTGTTGCTGTGGGTAATCTTACGTTAACTACACAAAGCTTATGTTCATCTGACTCAATAATATCTTTAGCATACACTGAAACACCATATTATTAGAATAAAACATACTTAGTTAATATATAATAATCTCAGTGGGAAAATATCAGAGAAAGCATCTAAATTGTAAAGAGAAGCATGTATGTAATTCCAATTAATAATTTCAGTGATCAAATTTCAATTGAAAAAAATTGGTTAAATTGTAAAATGGGTGATACCGTAGTGATAAAATAAAGAAAACAAATAAATTGTAGGAATTATTTTATACTTGATAATAATCAGTGCTACAACACCAAATAAATTAAAAAAATTGGCTAAATTATAAAAAAGAGTGATGGTGACAAAATTGAGAAAACAAATAAATTGTAGAAATTGGTTTATACTTGATAATAATCAGCGCTACCACACCAAAAAATTGTGTCAATTGTAACAATAGGTACACATTTATTTTGAAAGGTACACAATTATTTTATTTATTTTTTTTTTCACTGCCGGCAACGCACCGAGATGCTGTTGGCCTTACATAGCTGCGCCGCATCCTCCAGCACTGCAGTAGGAATGTCTTCGATGGTTTGTCCCTGTAGAAATAACATTTTGTTAATGTTTTCCCTGTAGAAATAACATTTTGTTAATGTTATGCAATGTTGTCCCTGTATAAATAAAATTTTGTTAATGTTATGCAATGTTGTCCCTGTATAAATAACATTTTGTTAATGTTATGTAATGTTGTCCCTGTAGAAATAACATTTTGTTAATGTTATGCAATGTTGTCCCTGTATAAATAACATTTTGTTAATGTTATGTAATGTTGTCCCTGTAGAAATAACATTTTGTTAATGTTATGCAATGTTGTCCCTGTATAAATAACATTTTGTTAATGTTATGTAATGTAATCCCTGTAGAAATAACATTTTGTCAATCATTGAGCAAAAATCATCCCTCAAATGCTAAATTGAAGCAATTTTCATCATCTGATGAAAACATGAAATAGAAATAACATTTTGTTAATGTTATGTAATGTAACATTTTGTTAATGTAACATTTTGTTAATGTAACATTTTGTTAATGTTATTGGCATGAAATTAACAGAAATAAAATTTAGATTTAGGATTTAGAGGAGGACTCTAAATTCACTATGGACAGGCAATTCATTTAAAACTAAAAAATAATATGTTCACCAAAATTTCGATGTGAATCTTGAACTACACTGAATTTTTATATGCATTTGTTACCAAATAAATATATACACACATACTGCTCTAAAATTTAGATTGCAACTTTTGGTAGACTGAAATGAACCCTTTTTTTTAGACTTAAATGAACTTAAATAAAACTTTGTATGGACTAAATTGTAATGTGCCTTCGAAGTTTTGTTTCAGACGTCACGGTAAAAATAAGTGCTTAAACATGGGTTCTCCTAACTTTTAAATTTTATTTGAAGTTTTATATAGACTGAAATGAACCCAATCTTTTGGTAGACTTAAATGAACTTAAATAAAACTTTTTGTATAGACTAAAATGAACCCAATAAGATCTTGGGGTATAGAATCTTACTGGATTAAGTCGAAGGTAAACATGAGCCGAGGAGACCTTATCAACGTGGAACCACACGTCTTCTGGCCAACCCCACTTAATGAGATCCTCGTCTGTTAGTGAGAACTTGCCTTCAATTAAGATAATTACAAATCAATGAAAATGATTGGCAACTTATCAAGTTGCCAATCTTCTGGCCAACCCCACTTAATGAGATCCTCGTCTGTTAGTGAGAACTTGCCTTCAGTTAAGATAATTACAAAACATTGAAAATGATTGGCAACTTATCAAGTTGCTGCAAGAATCTTCACAACTTATATACAAGATAAAGATAAATACTACACATATGAAAACTTGTGTATTTTCACACACATGTGGAGCAGTGAAAATACACATGTGGAGGAGCAGGGTTAGTTTTTTTTAATCCAAAGAATATATTTAGGGAGTGGAGGGCTTATTGTAACAAGTTATTTGTATTATAGTACAAAGAAACTCTAGCCTATGCAGCTGTAACAAGGCTAACAAGTAAAAATAGCCTATGCAAGACTAACAAAAAATGAGGAAAAATTGCCTATGCAAGACTAACAAATAACAAGAAAAATAGCCTATGCAGCTGTAATTTTAATGGATTTTTAATATGAAAAAAAAATCCTTTTCTCATTCTACAAGATGAATGAGAATTTTTTCTGTTAGGTGAACAATATCTGTAACAAATATTTTTCAATATATAATATAAATTTCCTCAAAATGGTATCATGTTCACAAGACCAAATGCAGGTTTTGTGCCATTGGTCATTTTTAAAATGTGTTACATTTTTACAAACTTGTAAGCCTATATAAAAGGTCAGTGAATTACTGAACAATTGATAAAATTATTTTTTTAATGAGAGCAACAGAGAATAGAAATGGTATACTTACTTTCATACTTGTCCAGGCCCATGAAAAGTCTCACAGGAGGATCAACAACTGTAGTTAAAAATTCAAATGTTAGTCAATAATTTTTTGTGTTCAAAACACAATGTTGAAATTTAAACACAATGTAATTTTATTAAATCATTTATTCAATACCCAGATGCTGATTTTGTTCTTGCAAGTAAGGTTTACAAAACAATATTAAATTTGATTATGTTCATTGAATATAAAACAATTAATACCTAATAATTAATTTATTCATGATCCAAATATATACATTTTTTGTATTGACTATATCACATATTTCTTGCCGTATCCCTTTATACTTTTGTTATATTGAGAATTACTTACCTGTACTTGTGAAGAAGAAGACCATGATTATCGCTTGAGAGGCGTGTTGATGTGATAATTACAAATTTTAATATGATCAAAGATAGTAAATGAATCTTACTGAACCTAAGAGAACTGCATAGAACTGTTAATTGTTCTTTATTTCAGGCCTGACACTAACAATTGCTAGAAATTTTCCTAAAATAAACCCCAAGGAAAAACACAAATAATTTTGGGATTAATTTTGAGAATTAATAAATACAATCTAAGGTGAGAAATTATGTACCTATATAGTTGTTAGATAATGTGTTGGCACTTGGCAGCATGCCAGCAGACTAGTGTGGAAAAAGATCTCGGAGTTTATGTTGACAAGGAGCTGAAATTTTCTAAGCATGTTGAAACGCAAGCTAACACATCCAACAAACTTCTTGGACCAATCAGACGCTCATACAAGTTCCTAGATGCAGAAGCGATGAAGCAGTTGTTTGTTGCTGTCGTGCGTCCGAATCTAGAGTTTGGAAATGTGTGGTCACCGAGATTTGAAAAGGACAAAAATTTAATAGAAAATGTTCAAAGACGTGCAACAAGGATAATTCCAGGCTTGAAGGACAATTCCTATGAAGAAAGTTTAAAGATTATGAAGCTACCAAGCCTCAGGTATCGACGTCTGCGTGGGGACCTCATTGAAGCAAACAAGTATACTCATGGTTTATACAATGTCCCCGAAGGATTACTAGAATTTGAAACGAGAACCAACACCAGGGGCCATGGCTATAAACTAAAAAAACTGCGCTGCAACTTCTCCACGTGACAACATTTCTTCTTGCTTTGAATCACCGACATGTGGAACAGCCTCCGCAATGACATCATTGGCGCTCCAAGTATGAACGCGTTCAAGAACAACTATATAAAGCTATGGAAAAATATATGTTTAGATTTTAAATGCCCAGCACCATATCGAACCAGGTGAGAGTCTAGTAGCTTTTCCAAACTATCGTCGGTAATTTAAAGATCCGGTCAAACGACACGATTTTAGATCTTCTGTGAACAGGGCACAAAGGAAAAGAATCGGCGACAGGCCACATCAGGCCTACACTTCTGCGCTGACATCACTATGTTATGTTATAATAAAAGTGTTTGCTAGAGCTATTCTGCAGTCTCGGAACGGAGCGAGATCTTATTCTTTCCAATAGATAAATTCGATATCATAATGCACATTCGAAGCAAAATGCTGCCGGAAAAGGAGAGAGTCAGCTGCGTTCAACAAGCAAACATTGCTAGTATGTATTGCCCTTGACTTTGGAAAGTTAACCGGCATATATTAGCAAAAGGTCTGTCTGTCCAGACTCCAGTGTCAAGAACTAGGCTGGCTTTCTCTCTTATCACCCTACTCTTCTCTTTATACTGGTGCACCTGGTAATGTCTTGCTATTCACAGCTGCCCGTTCCCCCCTACTGCCAGGAAGACTCTCGTGCACTTGAACTGCCTGAGTCTCGGTTCCTGCGCTTTCGAGCAGAAATGGCAGGGGTAGCCTCAAGGATACTGACACTGTCAGGGTCTGAGTCTTCAAAAACAAAGGCGCCAGAAACTGCACCACCCCTCTCCATCATCACAACCAACTCATCAGTCTCCACCACTCCAGATCGATGACACTGGAGGACCAAAACCAGACCCAGCAAGGCAGCTGGAATCTGTCATGTTGAACCAAACATCTACTCCTTATGGAAAAAGAGCAAAGGCAAAAAAAACATAAAGAGTAAACAAATAAAATAAATAAAGATTTTAACACAGATAAACGAAAAAATAAAATAAAGTAAGTAAATAATAAAAATTAAATGAAAACAACAAATTCATCAAAGCAGACTGGTGAACCTATGAGGGAGAAAGCCAGTTGTATTTATAATGAATCAAACTTCGAATAATGATTATTTTAATTAAATACAAATGCTCATCCTTCGACAATAAATTCACCAGTTCCTTAGAGAGCTTAAATAACACACGTGCTTTTGCCGTGAACGCAACTGACTTTCTCCCCTAGTGCCTGATGTCACAGAGGATGGCAAGCAAATGGCTTTGCACAACACCTAACCTCGCAACAGCTTCGACCAGAAAGCGCCCATTGCAGCACCTCTGCAGAACGAGAACTCATAATTACATCGGAATATACAGTAATGTGCCCCGGAAATTCTATTGGGAGAGATGAAATTGGAATTTCAAAATTAAAATTGTATTATATGTTTTGAAATGTTGATTGAATTTTTTTTTAATTTTTTAAAGTTTCAGAACAGGAAGTGAAAGTGAGTTATATGTTTAAAGTGTATATGTAAGTTTCATTAATCAGCAATTCTTTATTTTGATAAGTTATAACAGAATTCGGAATAATGGAATTTTCAGATCTCTAATATGTCATCTATCCTGAGTAAAGCGCTCATGTCCTGATAGAACAGTGAATATAATATTAACCGGTCAATATTATATTGCAAAATGTCTTATTTCTGGAGGTAATATTGAAAGATTCCGTCTTCAAAGTTAGTGACCATTATTTGACGGTCTGACAGAGCATTAATTTTTACTTTTTCATGTACACGGTGACTACTGACTACATGAGGCAATGAATATGGAAGCATGATTATGTAGACTGTACAGGATGCACTGGTTCATACGTCTCGGACAAAAATGTACATGGCAGATGAGAGACACTGACTGTGATAATTTTAGTGCAAAACTTATGATACGGACTTACAAATGATGTGAATATACAACTTAAGAAATGTATGAATGAGGCTGCCAAGGCTGCATGTGCAAGAACAACTAAGAATAAACGCTAAAGTTAAAGAAAGAATGAAAAATGGTGGAGAAATTATGTGAAAGTGGCAAGGATTGAAGGAAAAAAAATCTGGTAATCGAATCTGTAGGCAACTGCGGAAAAAGAGGGCATGAGAGTGAGAAATGTGAGCTGGAATATCATTAAGTATGGCTGAGGTATGAAGAACAACAGAGAAGAACCAAATCTATCACTAGAAACCATTTTGTTGAGTATTGCACAATTTTACATTGTGACAAGTGGAGATCACAAGATTTTCATTGTTCAATTCAGTCTAGATTCTCTTTTGGCAATTTATTCCCGTCTTCTTTAAGTTTTCGTCTTAAGAAGAGAACCGAATAGCCTGCTCGCCCCCGTTTAGTCTTCAGACAGCAGACTATCTACTGACCCAGAGCACGCCTTACACTTGGCTACCGCTCTACTCCACCTGCCAGACTCCAGTTTAGTTTAGTGGCCAAATGTTTACTAGCATTTCAGCTATTAAGCTATCTTGCACTGAAAGTCAAGATGAACATCACCATAGAGGAGGAAGGTCTCAATTATTCATCACCCACAAGGGGCGAAACTTCCGCCCCATCTGAGACCTTCCGCCGCGGAAGGTCTCAGATGTCCAGCCCGCTGAAGCTGGCTTGAAAGAAGCAGCGTTAGCATCTCAAAGAGACGAAGTGACAAGGAGGGACAGGTGAAAAGCAACAGAAACGAAGATGCTTGAACAAGAGGTTGCTTACACGGGACGTCGGCCGCCTGCACGAGAGAGACAGAGAAGGGAAATGTAAGGAATCCTGCCTACATAATAACTTAACGGTCTTAACCCCACAACTGAGACCTATAGTCAGACACCGCAAGCTCAGCGGTGGGGCGCTCAGGAACAATCCCCCTAGGAGCGCGAAATCCCATAGGACTTCTGACAAGCACAGACTGTCAGACACCCGTCAAAAGTCCCCCCTGAGGGGAATGCCAGACTGTCAGACACCCGTCAAAAGTCCCCCCTGAGGGGAATGCCAGACTCCAGACTGTTGACGGTCTGGCGGAGCATTATACATGGATACGGTCCCGGAGTCTACTACTCTACTACCTGGAGGCCTTCAAAGTACTTCGAACCTACCAACAATTCGAGGTACCGGAAATGGTTAGCCACTTGATTGCTGGCCTTCTGCCAATACTATGTTTGGGACTCTATAAAGAACCAGATTCCGTCATCTTGTACCTACACTTATTGGCCTCGCCATCCGGTGCATTGAAATTCAGTGCTCAAACAATATTAATCTTATAATCTATACTTTATGTTCCTTTAAACCTTACTCCGTGGTATTCAGTTTCTCTTTCGATAATTTACAGGGAATCTGCAAGGGGGCGAGGCGATCGGAGGACGGAGATGGTCGGCTGAGCTGCCTGAGCACTGGATTGGTTGATTTGTTTAGCCATTCTCTCACCGAATAAAGAATACTATTAGCCATTCCACTTTGCTAGCCCCACTTCGTTCCTAGAAACTAGCTGAGAATTGATTGGCAATATAGAGGTTATGAAATAGATTACTCGTGGCATTCCCGATTTCATTTAGATTCCTTATGGCTTTGTGACCCATGAGATTACTGGAATAGTTAGCGCGAACAACTTTTTAATTTGACAAGTATGAGCGAAATTGAATGAATGAATTCGTTATGAACAAACAGAGAGGTGAAAGCAAATGGTATGCTTTCCTGAGAGGTGACAATAGGGAAAAGATCTGAGAGTGGATGGGCTAAATGTAGGAGTGTATGTTACTGAGAGAACATGATTGGCTGAGGCAGGCATGGAATATATCTACTTGGCGAGCCGCAACTGAATTTTTCGAGCCGTGGTTTTATGGATTTGCCAGCCGTGATTCCATTTCTTCAAGCCGTGATTCCATTTCACCGAGCCGTGAATTCCATATCTCGGCCATGAAAAGCCATTTACAAGGCGCAAATTTATTTACAAAGTCCATGCATGTGTTACTGCAAATCGCTAATTTTACCCTAAAACAGTCAAACAGCATCAATAAAATTTGTCTTTACTGTAAATTTACTGTAAGTTGAGCACGTGTTATTGCAGTCTGACCACTTTGACATGACCGCAACTATGCGCGATCTTCAACATAACGTTTAGTTGATTTGTTTACATTACGATGTTTATGTTTTTTCTGCAGGATATTTTGGCAGGAATGGCAAAGCAATGCAGATTGTGCAAGTTGAAAATTTTATTAAATGACATGTTTGCGAAGTGCAAACCGCAATTTTCCAATCAAACAAAAATTTATGACATTTGAGCCACAAGATTTCATACCTACTGAAATTATATGATATTAAAGCCGCGATATTTCAGACAAAAATAGGACTTTCCCAGCCCTGGGCTG